ATTTATATGAAATAATTATTAACATGGGATGAGAAACCTTTTTTTTTTTGTAACGTTGAGAGCGAGACTTGAATCTTACATCTCAAGTTTAGCATGAGAAAGTTTTTACAAGAGGTTAATAGTCATTAAATTATAAAACAGTTCTCTTGAAATGAGAAACATTTAACATGACACAAAAAAAAAAAAAAAAAAAAAATTTTGATGTGTCAAGTGTCAACCTTTTGTTGGTCAAGATATCATCAAAGCAATATGTTAGATGCACACTATAGAATTTTTTCACATCAAAATATTGTCTTAAAAAAAAATATATAGTTAAACATCAAGATATCGACTGAAAATTAATCATCTTGGCTCTTGACAAAAGACTAAAGACTTTATTTAATTACAAAACATTTTACTTCCTTAGGGTTTTGGAGTGGCTTTGAAAACTTTGGCATGTCTTTTTCATTAACTTGTATATTTTAATGAGTAGTTCGGTTTAACTAAAGGGGCTGGAATTTCAATTTCCAGAAATAACTGGGCGCTGGGGACAGAATTGAATGCAACTCAGCACCAATTTCACCTACCTGTTTATTTTATGTCTTGCTTGGGACTGTCGTGAAAGAGAACCCTTTTGGTTCGATCTGCTCAAATGTGTTTAATTTACTTAGTAAAGGACATTTTTTGTATTCGTTAAAGTGTGCAGTGGTCCCTTAGCTTTTAAGAATGGTTATATTAGGTTGTCAACCTCTTGGCGAAGATAGTTGGGCGCCTAACGTCTTAAATGGGTTCAATTAGATCTTGGCTTTAGTGGAGTCAGTGAATAGAAATCACCAGAGAAAATGATAGCTGAATCTCTGGATTCTCTCTTTTAAATAATCGAATTAGTGAAAATAATTGATAATGGTGCAACTAGACTTTTTTTTTTCTCTCAAAAGGAAAATTTAACAAATATGACATGCAAGGTGTTTGATAAATTTTAAAAAAAACTTAATTAAAAAGAAAATTCTTCTCTCACAAATTTAAAATTTTTATTGAGAAAAATGTAAAATTTGACTTTTAAAAGTACCTTTAAGCAAGTTTGGCAAAAACTTATATGTATAACTTTATCAAAACTTGCTTATATACTACATTTAAAAACTAATTTTTGAATTTTCTTCCAACAAAATTTTAAATTTGTAAGAAGGGAATTTGTTTTTTAACAAATCTTTTTAAGATTTGCCAAACACACTCATAACCACGTGGCAACCCTTTTTGTCCAAAAGATAGCCATTGACTTAGCTTGAGTTGTGCACATATGAAGATCCATTAAGGGCAGCTTTCTACTAGTGGAATTAGGGCTCCAAACAAGCTAAAACAAGCTAAATTTGTATCTTTTTAAGTTCAACAAGCTAGTTATGCAACACTAAACTAAGGGCCTTTTGGTAAACATCTTCCTTAGATTGTTTTTATAGGGAAGTCGTGAGTCTTTATTAATATAGTTTAACTTAAGAAAGCAATAATCCTGACATAGAAATTTTTAAAAAAAGTTAATCAATTATATTTTACTTCAAGGCAATTTTATTGAAACATAATCGATTACATGTAGTATAATTGATATAACGTTAGGAAGTTTTTCTTTTAATGTTTTTGAGTACAAAACATTATCTAAGCATTTTAATTGATTATAAACATTATAATCCATTACTTCAAGCGTTTTATTTTCTCAGCACACATTTCAATACTTAAGCCCATTATCTTTGGTTTAATGGCTAAACTTCCCCATTAATTTTTTCTTGAGAAAGTTGTAAACCAAACATCCCCTAAAATTAGTGTTATTGAGTTAGGCAATTTCCCTAATGTTTGTAAGGGTAAAATGCTTTATAATCCAAATTATAAAATATTAATCATTCAATAATAAGATACACTCAGCAATGAGTATAAAATTCTATATTTAATAAATGAACTGACTTTTTTTTAAAAATTTATTTGATTATCTCTTAATACATTTTCAAAAAAAAACCATCACTTTTTTTTTAACTAGCTTGAATCAAGAAACAAAGCTTTTCGAACACAAAAATTGAGGTGAAATGTAATTGATTATATGAAAAGAATGGGATATTTTAGAAAATAACCAGTTACAAACAAATATAATGCATTATAGTAGGGGAAAAACCTTCTAGCTCAAAAACTTGGAGGGCTTGTTTGATACACAAATGTCCCAGAATATTTTTCCCTCCAAGCTGCGCCGTAAATTGAAGTAGCTAAACTTAAGATTTTAAGATTATGGGCACAAAAACCCAATAACAATTATAACATGTTACAAATTGATTGTAACTGATTACTTCGGAAAAAAATGGATATAATTGCTTATATATATATTATATATATAATCGATTACTTTATCCTAAAAAGACACTTTGTCGTATTTTTTTTATTGAAAAAGTATGTTAGTCCTTTTAATCACTTATAAAGTAACATAAGGAATTACTTTTATTTTATCCCTAAATATTTGTTTTTGGGATGAAGTTATATACAAAATGGCCATAAATTCTAGAGAAAAACATTCTAAGATATGTATGTACCAAACAAACTCATAAAGTTTTATTTTGAGATGAATAATCAATTATCTTTTTTTTTAATTGATTATTTAGCCATTAAAGTATTATATTTAATTAAAAAAATATAGTCAATTATATGCTATCTTTGAGTTTTGTATCTAAAAATTTATTTTCTTAAACTAAAACCAAGCCATTGTTGTGTATGATTTCCCTAAAAATATCTTCCGGATAAGAAGTAATTAAACACGCCTTTTAATCTCCAAGGTCTAACTCTTGATTTTTTTTTTTTTTTCGGAACGAAACTAAAACGGTCTAAATTTTGAACCAGGCCTTGGTCTAGTAAATCACCCCAAATGTTAATATTTAGATTTAATTAATTAATAATTTAATTTTTACAAATCATCAATGATTTAAATAACTCAATAATCATCATTTTATTTTATTAAAAGTAAAAAAATTTAACTTCAAATCACATAATATATAAATTAAATGTGATAAAAAAAAATAAAAAATAGCTACCTCTCACTATAAAATCAAAATAAAAAATAAGATTTACACAAACTAGTTGAAAAAATTCCCATCCTCTATAATTTCTTATGTTAAAAAAAAATTGGTCTAAATCTTAATACATGCCAAATGGGTGTTGGTGTTGGACAACACGTGTCCGAACAGAGATAAAGCATAACGGTGCCGCCCTGTACGGGAGCGCGACTCGATCTGAGACCCTCCATCTCCAACCGTCGGAGTCCCTCTCCTTCTATTTCCGACTCCTAACTTCAAATTCACAGCTCACTATTCCATTAAAAAAATCTACCTCCATGTCCAACTGCTTCTGATAACTGACGTCTCACCCAAATCATGACTGCTTATACCCACAGATCTACTGGTTCCATGTTGCCCAACCAAAACCCATTACGACCCACCTCCTGAAACAAGCCATGGTGGAGATACTGCCGCTCGGCCGGTTTCAGTTGCACCAGCAGAGGTTCGAATTCAAGCGGTTGGTCCCGGCTTTTCTGTCAACTTATTACAAGACCCTTTTCGCTGTTCTTTGGATTGCCGCGTTCGTCTCTGTCTTTCTCTGGCAGCGGAATGCTGTGGGGGTTAGATTCTCGTTCTTCAGGGGGGCGGGTTCGGGTCGACCCATGCCGAGGTTGCGGCCCTTTGCGTTCAATTTGACTGATTTTGGGGGAGTTGGAGATGGGGTGACGCTTAACACGGAGGCGTTTGAGAGGGCGGTGTCGGCAATTTCGAAGCTTGGGAAGAGAGGCGGCGGACAGCTCAATGTGCCACCCGGGAAGTGGCTTACGGCGCCCTTTAATCTCACTAGTCATATGACTCTGTTTTTAGCTGAGAATGCTGAAATTCTTGGAATTGAGGTTGGTGGTTCAAAAAAAAATTTTTTTTTTTTAAGTCCTTTCATTAGATGATTTCTTGAGATGCCAAAATAGGTATGAAGTTTGAAAATTAATGGTGATTTGGCATTACTAATTTATGGAAAGAACTAAGGTGGCAAGGTTTTAGTCTTGACTATGGAGTCTCTTATATTGCATTTTTGTTGCTAGCTTAAGGAAGTGTGTGGTAGTCTTGTTTAGTTATTCAATTTGATAATAAGCACTTAAGTTTTTGGAGGGATTTGTGATTTTCGATGGAAAAGAAATGAGTTTTGGGTTCTCCTTCTTGTTTATAATTTCATATACATAGGCTCTTCTGAAAGCTTACTTGTGATGTTTGTTTGAAAGGCTTCTTCGTATTGCCATTGGCTGTTGTTTGTTTGTATGAATATGGGAATATGGGAGTGCAAATTGGCTATTAATTCAGCTTATATTATGTATTAATTCTTTGATTCTGTTGTGTGTGTTTTATGGCATATTACAAATTTACAATCAATTGAGCTGTCTATCTAGTCAAAATCGAGTTGCTGATCATGTCAGGGTATGATTAGTTTACTTTTGAAAAAATTATAATAGATATTTGCAGCAAATAACTGGTGTAGAATAAAAATTGCTTGTTTACATGGGATTGAAGATACTTAAACTTGCATGGTGGTAGGATTTAATGTCATGGTATTGATAATTTCTAGAACCTGCCTTTGTCTGAAAGGCGTTTTCCATACCTGGAAGGTACATTGCCACCCCTTTTATTTATGGTAGACTGGTACTTTCAAGTTTCAATCCCACCAGGGTTGCAAGAGATGGTCATTATATGTTTGTTCGCCATTAAACATTGGTGTTGTGAATTAGCCCTTGAATTTTTAACTTCTTTTGCAATATAAGCTGTGAGGTTACTGCTTATTGAGTATGCTCATTTTCTTATTGGCTTGGCTGATTAAGCATGCTCTATTTTATGATATTTAACAGGATGAAAAGTACTGGCCATTAATGCCTCCATTGCCTTCATATGGTTATGGAAGAGAGCATATGGGACCTCGATATGGGAGTTTAATTCATGGTCAAAAACTTAAAGATGTTGTTATAACTGGTCAGTTGATAACACTTTCCTAAACTTTAATTTACGTTTTATTTGTTTTCATTTTGGTTTTATTAAAGACATTTTGCTTAGAATTTTATTGGTATAGTGGACTCATTTCTGACCGTTTGTCATGGCCTCTTTGAATTCAATTATCAGGTGGTTCTTAACTATATCAAGTTAGATTTATTTGTGCTCTTTTTTTCTCCAGCAAGTATCTACTTAGTTTTGATGCATCATTTGGAGAACAAACTTGGGGGGGTGGAGTTTAGCAGAGTGTCCTTCATTTTGCATCCTTGATCGATGATCAGAATGGTGGTTGTCTTATGCCTGAACTGCTTCCACAGTTTTTGCTCTTTAAGAAAATGGATAAAGAGTTTCCTTTTAAGTTTTGCTGTTTTGGAATATTAAGAAAACCAACTTTCTCTTTTTTGATACTCTCTTTATCATTATGGACCACCAATATAGTCTAATCTTAAAGGACATTTGATTTGTTCATTATATCTTCTATATGATATAACTTCTAGTGCTGCTAGTGAAGCAGTGGAAACATTCTCCAATACTAAATTGATTAAATTGGCTTCTAGCTAAATTGGTAATGTAGCGTTGATTAGCTCAATCTCAAATTCTTTAAATCTTGATATAGATGTTTGGTGACAGTTTTCTTCTGATGGAATTTGACCAGTGACCAGTGTTATATAAAATAAATTGTAAAGCTGATTCCATCCTCCTTTTTACTGATCAACAGGGCATAATGGCACTATAAACGGGCAGGGTCAGTCATGGTGGAAGAAGTATCGCCAGAAACTTCTCAACAACACTAGGGGCCCACTTTTACAGATAATGTGGTCAAGTAACATTGTGATCACTAACATAACCTTCCGTGATTCTCCATTTTGGACAATCCATCCATATGACTGCAAAAACATTACAATAAGGAATGTTACCATCTTGGCTCCTATATTCGAAGCCCCAAACACAGATGGAATCGATCCTGGTAAGTATACATAATAATTGCGATAGAATTAGGATGGGCTATATAGTTGCTAAGACAGCAATAGTATTTAGGAATAGCCATGAGACAGGAATGAGTATTAGCAAGTAATAGTCATGGGACAGGAATGAGTATTAGAAAGGAATAGTCATGAGACAGGAATGAGTATTAGAAAGGAATAGTCATGAGACAGGAATGAGCATTAGAAATCTCTCTTCAATGGGTAGAAAACAAATTTTTGGTTGGGAGGAGCTGAGGACAGATATGTAGTATGATATTTTATAAGTGGCTAGAGAAATGAAATCTAGAAGTGTTCAAGTAAAAATTTCATTTGCTATCTGTTTCATATCATTTTAAATTTAACCCAAAACCTATTGTGTCAAGCAGATTCATGCAAGGATGTGGTAATTGAGGATTGCTACATTAGTGTTGGGGATGATGCAATTGCAATAAAGAGTGGCTGGGATCAGTTTGGAATAGCTTATGCACGACCTTCAAGCAACATTCTCATCCGCAACCTTGTCGCACGCTCTATTATCAGGTGAAGATTCACCCTATTCCAACTTTGTGAAAAATAGCTTCCCTGTTTTTCACAGTGACTACAAAGATTGTGTCATACTTGCATGACACATAATTTTGTATGTAAAATGTTCAATTTCTTGATGGCTATTTTCAAGTCTCCTCACCCTTCCATCACTTCCATCAGAACTTTGCTAATAATTTCTGCATTGAAGGATTCATTCAGTGCCCCTTCAAAATGCCTTCTATTAGCTAGAGCAATCAGGGAAACATATTATAAGTTTTAGTTTATCAGTTAGTCCCAGATTGGATTCTCCATTTCTCACAATACCTTTCTCTTTGATGTATGTTCACTCTCTAAGATATTAACTGGGATTCAACTTGGCTGAATTATGCTACAGTGCCGGTGTATCAATAGGCAGTGAGATGTCTGGTGGTGTATCAAATGTCACTGTAGAAAATCTCCTTGTGTGGAGCTCTCGTCGTGCAGTCAGGATCAAGACAGCTCGTGGGAGAGGTGGATATGTTAGGCATATAACCTACCGCAACCTAACATTTGACAATGTCCGCGTAGGGATTGTGATCAAGACAGATTACAATGAGCATCCAGATGACAATTTTGACCGAAAGGCTCTCCCAACTATTGAAGACATAAGCTTCACCGCAGTACATGGGCAAGGAGTTCGTGTTCCTGTCCGTATCCATGGAAGCGAAGAAATTCCTGTAAGAAACGTGACTTTTAGGGACATGTCCGTGGGCATAACATACAAGAAGAAGCATATTTTCCAGTGTGCCTTTGTTGAAGGTCGTGTAATAGGGACTGTCTTCCCTGCTCCATGCGAGAACCTCGATAGGTACGACGACCAAGAGAGACCCGTTAAGCTCTCTGCAACCCAGAATGTAACAGACATAGATTATGATTTTTGACAAGATTGGCTCCTTCAGAATCTCCAGAAGCCATCATTCTTGGGTCATAGGATTTATGTTTATGCATGCATGAGATAATGGGTGAAAAAGGCAGGATCCATGGGGCTTGTTTATTGCCTTTCATGCCCCTTTTTGGCTCCATTTTTATAGCTTGATTGATTCACGTGGTTGTATATACAGAACTTTTACGGATGGTCATACATTCAAAAG